GGGGGATAAGATGGGCGAGCTCAGGGCCACCGGACCGGCCCGCGGGCGGGCTCCCTGCACCTGTCGCCCCTCTCTGCTGTCCCAGCTCTTTCCCTCAGGGTCCCTCTCTCTCCAGAGCTTGAAACTGAAACTGCTGTAGCGAAATGAAACCAGAGCCTAGGCCCTGCAGCCTGCGGCAGGGGACAGCACCACAGACGCCGGCCCACGTGGCAGGCCATTGCGAGGTGGGGGTGTTGTCTAAACTGCGGTGATTTTTTTTTTTTTTTAGCAACCAGTGGGGACAACTGCCCCTGCCGCCACGTCCTCTCCCACACCACCCGCCTGGCAGCCCCAGGGCGGCTCCTGACTTGCATAATCGGGGTACAAGGGGATGGACCTCACATTTGGAGGGGGCCTTCTTCAATATCCACTGGTCACCTCAAATGGGAGAATTCAGGTCTTCCTTCCAGGGAGGCTGCAGTCTGCCAGGCATGGATGGGGGAGAGTAGCCCAAGACCCTGATTAGGAAAGGAACTAAGCAAAAGACAATTGCAGCATGCGAGACTGAAGTTAGACTCCAGTCAGCTTTTTTGCACTGTGGATGCTGGGCCAGGACATATGCTCTGATGCATCTTGGGCCCTTCAGGGAACCCCACAAGGTTCTCTGTCCTCCACACAATTTGCCCGGAGCTTCCAGTCTCTCATGTCCCCAGGTATGACTGATGTTCTCTAGGATCTTGGGCAGGAGGCCCCACCCCATTGTAGAGAAGGAAGAGAGGTCATTTGCCAGTGCATGTAGGGAACCAGCCAGAATTAAACGCAGCCCTCTCTACCTTCTGCCCAATGCTAAGTGATAGATCCCCCTCCCCAGGGTCTCATGTAGCCAAGGCTGTCTCAAGTTCAGTAGATAGTTAAGGATGACCTCCTGCCTCCACCTCCCCAGTACTGGGATGACGGGCACATGTGTCACCATACCTGCCTTTTGTTTGAGTTTGAGATCTCCCCGCTCTGCAACATGAGCTCCAGGAGAGTATGGACCACATAAGGAGACTCATAAAAACCCAATAAATAAATAAGAAAATGTCTTCCAGCCTCCGTCACTCTGCACTCGCACACACTCTGCCTGTGGGATGGTTACCTACTTGGATAGATGACCATTTAAAAATCTTAGCCTGCTTGGTAGCACACGCCTTTAATCTCAGCACTCGGGAGTCAGAAGCACTTGAATCTCTGTGAGTTCGAGTCCAGCCTGGTCTACAGAGCTAGTTCCAGGACAGGCTCCAAAGTAATACAGAGAAACCCTGTCTCCAAAAAAACAAACAAACAAACAAACAAACAAAAACCCAGAAAACAAAAAAGAAAAAAATCTTAGCCTGGCAGTGATGGTGAACACCTTTAATCCTAGCACTCAAGAGGCAGAGGTAGGTGGAATTATGAGTTCAAGGCCAGCCTGGTCTACACTGGGAGTTCCAGGACAGCCAGGATACACAGAGAAACCCTATATTGAAAGAAAAAAGAACAAATAAAATAAAAATAAATCTTGTCCCAGAGCAAAGCTGAGTGTTGTGTGATGTAGCTTCTCTGTGCTTTATGTATATATCATATATCATACATATGAGCTACTTCACAACACCTAAGTCATCACAGCTGACAACAGCCACAATTTCCTCACTGGTGGAAAAACACACTGCTACAGAATCACCTGGGGCATCTTCCGCAGCATTCTCTCACAATCCCTGTGTGCATCCAGGATGCTCCCAGAATGCTTCTCTTCTAGCTGCCCACCAACCCCACTACCTGCTTCCTCCACACACATCCATCAATTGTATTTATTCCTTAAAAAAGGAGTGTAACCAGGCAGTGATGGCAGGAGGCTCACGAGTTCAGGGTCATCCTCCACTATATAAGGAGGTGGAGGCTAACCTGGTCTACAGAAGTAGACCATTTGCATGCATGTCCCAGGGCCTATGCTCTGTCTACAGTGCTTCAAAATTCATGAATAATTAAAGGAGTTAGATGTTCCACAGACCCTGAGCACTGTGTCCCCCCACTCCAATTTATGCCTTAATTGCATTAATTATTATTATTATTATTGGTTTTTGAGACAGGGTTTCTCTATGTATCCCTGGCTGTCCTGTAGGCCAGGCTGGTCTGGAACTCACAGAGATCCTCCTACCTCTGCTTCCCCAGTGCTGGAATTAAAGGTGTGCGCCACCACTAACTGGCCTCACTTGTATTTTCAAGTGTGTCCCGGCTGTTTTGTGTGTGTGTGCATATGCCAGGCAATGCTATATTGCTTTTTTGTGTATTTGTGAAGGATTTTTAAGTAGCCAAGGCTAGCCCCAAATGCTTGATCCTCTTGTCTCCACCTATTCAGAGCTAGAACTAAAGCCCAGGCTGGCCTTGAAGTCACTGAGGCAGCCCTCCTGTCTTAGCCTTCTGGAGTGATTAAGGGACAGACATGAGCCTTTAGACTCAGCTTAGACAGTTTGATTTAGTTTTGTTTAGTTTTGAGCTAGGGACTCATGTAGCCAAGGCAGGATCAGATTTTTAAGAAGCTGGGGACTACTAGGTTTCTTACTTACCACCTCACCCAAACTGTTACTACGTTAGATTAGATTTAGATTAGGTTTGTTTTGTTTTTTGTTGTTTTTTTTTTCGAGACAGGATTTCTCTGTATAACCCTAGATGTTCTGAAACGGACTCTAGATCAAGCTGGCCTCAAACTCACAGATTTGTCTGCCTCTACCTCACAAGTGCAGGATCGATTTTAATTAATTAATTAATTTTATTTTGTGTAGTCCTATATGGCCTAGGACTTGCTATGTTGACCAGGGTAACCTCAGAACTCTTAAAATCCTCCTGTCTCTACTGCCTCAGAATTAAAGTGTGGTGCTACCCACCATTTGTCACTCTGTTGATTGCTGGGAGGTGTTGCAGGTTGCCCAAGCTAACACATTCTCTATCTTCCAGTCCTTCTGCCCACTGATTTGAGTGAAGTTCAGGTCCTGGACCCCTTCAGCATTCATCAGAAAACTGAGGCGTGCTCTGTAGGAGATGATGGTCTGTCTAGCACCCTAGGGATGGGCCAGTCTGAGGTGACATCTGGAGTTGCAAGACTGAATTCAATCCTACCCTGTAAGTCCCCAGCACTGATTAATTTCTGGAGAAACCGAGGTAGGTGGGAGGAGCTTCAGCCAAGGGCGTGGAAAGTGTCCATGGGAGAATTCTGGGCAGCACCTGTAATTCAACCCCCTCTGGCTGTGCCAGAATGGGACAGACTAGGCGCTCAGGGTGCCTGAGGAAGGGCTCCCTCTAGCCTCTGAGGTTCCTGGTCCCCCACCCCAGGCTGGGCTCACGTGGCCGCCCAGAGTCCTCCCCACCTTCTTGGCTGGTGTCACTGCCTGGCTCGGGGCTACCACTTCCCCTGTGGGGACCTCCTGGGTTTCCCCTTAGTAGGCAACTTATTAGTACAAAACACCAATCCAGTCTGTTTGAGTATTCAAAAGTACTTTTTATTTGTGTTTTTGAGACAGAGTGTCACTACCTAGCCCTCATCCTGGAACTCTGCACACCAGACTGACCTCCAACTCTGAGAGATCCACCTGACTCTGCCTAGTCCTGGGATCTAAGACATGCAACACCACACTCAGTGGAACATACTTTAATTCGGTTTATATACATGTGCTAGAGACAGGGGTCGATGCTTTGATGTAAAAAAAAAAAAAACCAAACATGTTGGGATAGCCTGTGGAAAATATCGATGATATTGATTAACAGTAATAAAAATGAATGAAAAATATCCTAAAGTAAGACCTGGATATTTGGAGGCCGATATCCCATGCGTTCCATCAGACGCGGTGCAGAAGGGTAAACTGAGGCCTGGAGTTCGCTCTCACTCCCGCTCCTCCCCCTCCCGCAAGCCGCGGACCCATAGCCAGGTCTTCCAGCAGCGGAGCCCGAACCCAACAGGCCTGGTGAACCGGGATGTCCCTAGTTCCCTCCTCTCCCTTCCCCTCCCTCTCCGGACCTCTCCCACGACCAGAGAGGAAGTAGGAGAGAAAAGGACAAGGGGGTGAAAGAAGAAAACAAGAAATAAAGCTGGGTTGGACCCGCGCTTCCCCACTTCCCTCCATTCTGCTCCAGGGTCGCGCGACGTTCCGGCAAGGGTCCGAGTCCACGCCCCACCTCAGGCGGGCCAGCCAGCCGGCTGCGGGGAAAATTACAAGGCCTGGAAAACAACCGTCCTTCCCCGCCCCTCGCCAACCCCTTCCCCGCGCTACGCCCCTGGCACAGCCGGGTGGAGGCGACTGTTTTATGTAATCGCGGGGCGGCAGGTTTGCTGGCTGGCGGCAACGGTGAGGGAGGGACCCCCCCTCCAGCTCAGCTGCCAACTCGAGGCCCTGAAAGCTTTTCCCTGGGGGGTCCCTGGCACGGCTTTCGGTAAACTAAGGCTCAGAAGGGTGTAGACGGAGACCCGACTCTCTGAAGCAAGCTAGCTGTACTTGGAAACAGCTTCCCCGCTTCTGGGGTCCCTCGCAGTTTAGGTAAACTGAGGCTTATGGTGGGGGCTGGAGGACCCGGAGGTTACAAGCAGACTCTTGGTGCTTGCAAATACTCCCCTCTTCCTCTCCTGGGTTGCTTGCACTTGTTGGGTAAACTGAAGCCCAGGCTGACGGTATGGAAAGCCGGAGCTTCGAGGCAACCTCACGGTCCTTGCAACAGCCCCTTCCTTCTCCCTCTGGTCCCTTGCAACACTTGGGGAAACTGAGACCCAGGGGAGGGCGATGAGGAATCCTGCCATCGCCCCGGTTGCCCAGGAGAGAGGTGTAGAGTCAGGGGACCGTCACTCCCTCGCCTTCCCCTCAGCTTCCCGGGCCAGCGCGCCCCCCACGCCCCAGCAGCGGGTCCTAGGGGTGCGCACCGCACTCCCGCCCCCGCTGCCAACCCGCCCCGCCCCGGGCGTCGGGGGCACATCCCGCGCCCCCTGCACCCCGCCCTGCGCTCACAGGCCGGGGCTGTTTATCTGGGGCCCCCACCCCCTGCACCCGAGGGGCCCCTCTTGCCCGCCCCCAGCACCCAGGGGTGCTCCGGGCCGTAGATAAGCCAGCAGCCTGGCACTGCGCCGCGCACGGGGCGGAGAGGTCACGGGCTTGCCAGGGGAGGGGCCGATGGGTCGGGGCTGCGCCCCCCACCCGCCCGGCACCCCCAAATCCCTAATCGCAGCCGGATCTGCTCTCGCGGCGCAGCCCCGCGGGACGTGGCAAGAGCCGACCTGCAGAGCCTGTTCTGGCCGCGGCGGTCGGGGGGGCGGGCTGGGCGTGGGGGTGCCGGCGCTGCGGCACCTTTAAGACGAGGGAGGACCCCTCTTGCCCTCGGACAAACCAGGAAGGGAGTCGCGAGCATCATACGGGGCTTTGCGTACTGTACGGCTACTGTAGGGGCAGTGACGCCGCCGCCCGCCCGAGCGAGGTCCGCGCCGCGGGCAGCCCCGATCGCGCGTCCTCCGGGCCCGGGTCCCCGCGAGGTAAAGCCGACGGGCTGAAGGGGATCCCTCTTCGGGCAAGGTGGGTTTTGTTTTTCTTCCCCCCCACTTTTTTTTTAAATTTTCTTGCAGGGTGGGGACGCGGCCGGGGGCGCAGTGCGCACCCGGAGCGCCCTACAGAGTGGAGACCGGCTGGATGAGGGATCTGGGGTGCCTCCGCAGCTCCGGGGACCTGGAGACCAGGAGGTGCCCGGCCACAGCCGGAGGCTTGGGAGGGGGTGCTCCGCTCGGGTCCCTCCGGGGCGAAGGGCACGAGCCCGCGCCCGCTCCCCTCCTCCCAGTTGGTGCTGCACGGCCTCGGGGCTCCCGGCGCGCGGGCTGCGGGGGAGGGGAGCCGGGCCGCACCGAGGGCGGAGGTGGGGACAGAGGGGCGCGTCGCGTGCTAAGTTTGCAATAGGGCCCTGGGAGCTCGCCGTTCCCCTTCCCGAGTGGTCGTGGGCAAGCGGGGCTCGGGGCGGGGGGCTACCCAGGACTCCGCGCAAAGGTTAGAGTTGGCCAGGATGGAGCTCCATGGAGGAGGGGGGGAGGGCGCTAAAATACAGGGAGGGGGGCTTTGGAAAAAAAAAGGAGCGGGGGGGGGAAGAGGTGGGGTGTCCCGGGGGCGGGCGCGGCCTCTCGCTGTTCTCCTGGGCGCTGTAGTTCTTTCTCTTAAGTTCAGGGCTTGGCGTCTTGGAAGGATGTCAGGGAGTCTGAACTGCAAATCCCATAATGACCCGCGATGGCGGCGGCTCAGGGAGGGGCGTTGCGGAGGAGGGGCGGTGAGCGACGGACCAGAGGGCCAATGGAAGCGACAAGCCGTCCGGCGCGGCGCTGCATGAGGGCGGAGCCTGCGTCAGGGCGGAGCCTGCGTCGAGGGGCGGGTTCTTAATGAAGGGGCGGGGCTTCCGCGGCTCCCTCGCCGGGGGCCGGTGGCGGTCTCAGCTTCCGGCTGCCGCCCCTCCCCTCCTGTTGTGTAACCGTCCCTAGCCCCCCCCCGTTTCGTTATTTTATTTTTTTCCTCCTTTCCGTTTAGTTCCGGACGCTCCGGGACGAGCAGAAAGGTTCCTCCATAAGACAGGACGTTCCCTCCCCGGGGGAGGGTGTGGTGTCGGGGCCTCGGGGCTTCAGGCGAGGCCGGGGATGCGCGGCCTGGCGCGGGCCGGGCCGGGCGCGGGGGAGGTGACGGGCGGACCCAGATCCGGGGTAATTTGCATCGCCCTCCCCCCAGCCCGGGTGGGGATTGGCCGGGCGGCGGCGGAGGGTGGCGCGGGGCCGGGCTCAGCGTCGCCCGCCGGGGCTTGGAGCCGCCAGCCCGCCGCAGGCATCGTCACGGTCGCCGGGGCCCGCGCGCCGCCCGGGAAGGAGGTAGGAGCCGCGCGACCTCAGGGCCGCCGTCCCTTTCCTCTCTTCCCTTCCTCCTCCTCGTCGCCATCGCCACCACGTGCGCCCCCGCCGTCCTCCCCACCTGGGCCTGGCACCCAAGGGTGCTCCTTAAGTGGCGGAAGTGAGAGGGAGACAGATGGCTTCCATAATTCCCTCCTCTCCTTTCCCTCCCCTTCCAAGCAGACCTACTTAGCTCAGCACCCGTGGATGACTAAGCCCAGCACCCCTGGGTGACAGACTTGGCGGAAACCCTGTGTCTCCCCCCACTCCTTGCCACAGCTGCTTACCCCCGGCGAGGGTGACTCCGGCCTTCTGTGTCAGCAAGCCAACCCCCCCATCTTCCCCCAAGCCTGGGCCCAGGGCGTCACCCTGAGTGGCCGCTCCCACGCTGAGGAGGGGGGAGTCCCCCAGACATCAAGATGATTACTTGCAATTGGCAGGGCTGTGGTGGGAGAGGTCCCCAGGCCCTTCTCTCCCTCCGCTCAGGCTAGGCCCTAGGTTGCAAGGGGGTTCTCCCAGTCGAGGGACATCTGCTCATCCCAGGGTCACCTCCCCACCCCACACCTTTCCCAGAGGAAGTCGAGTGGCTCCCCCAGCTGGGCCCTGGCACCTCTCCGGGGCTGGGCTCGGGGCTCTGTTTACCGGCAGGCATCGCTGTGGAGACGGCCTGGGGGAGGGAGGGAGGGACAGCCTGCACTGGAAGAGAGGCAGGAAACAGGATCCAACGAGGACACTGAAATTTTAATTTGCCGGTCACTTTGGGGGTGGGGGGTATTTATTATTTAGTTGAGATTGGCCATGGTGGAGGCCAGCCAGCTCCTCCTGGCCCCAGAAAGGGCAGCCACACACCTTGGGTCTCAGGAGTGTTATGGGACACTGAGGCCTGAGAGGCAGGACCTGTGTGGCCCTGTGTGGGGACGGCTGTTGGGCAGGAGTTCCTCGTCCTTGTACCTTTGGGTGCATTCTGTTCTTTTCCTTGAGGCTGTGTGACCCATAGCTTGGTCCTTGTCACATAGAAGGAAACCCAGGCTTGGAGTGGGGTTGGGGGGAGGTTCCCTGTGAGCCAGGGCCTTTGAGGGGCAAAGGGACAAGGAAAAGACGGGATAAACTCAAGGTCATGTCCCTAGTGGTCCTCCTTCAGAGTGTAGGGGTCTTTCCAGAAGTCCTGGAATGTTTTAGGGGTGTCTGTTCCAAGAGATTCAGAGGCTGGTGTTGGAGCCTGTTTGCAGTGACTGACACCTGTCACCATCATTGGGAGTCTGCCCATGACATTGGGCCCAGAGAGGGATAGCAAGACTGCAAGGTCACACAGTTGGAACCCTAGTCCTTCCCCCTGATCCCATGTATCTGCCACCCTGTGTGCTGGGCACCTGGTGGGCTGTATGCATCTCAACCCCAGAATCACAATACCACAGTTCCACACCTGGTCCCCAAATCTGGCGGAGCTGTGGTTTCTTCTGAACTCACCTTCCCAGTGGGGAGGGTCCACAAGTGTCTTTGGATGGGCTGACTCTCAACTGTTGTCCCCACGAGGTTCCTCTGCATCATTTCAAGTTCCTTGGGGCCAACTCGGGGCACCCCAGGGTCTGCTGGGAGTTTGGTGTGGGTCTCTGCCATCTGAGCCACCTTGGCCTTGCCTCAGGCTCCTGACTCAAGGCCATCATCACAGGACCTGCAGGAGAGCAAGCGGGGTAGGGCCTGTCACCCACCCAGAAGGGCCACATTACCCCCTCTGCCTCAGTTTCCCTGATTGTGTCCTCTTCCCGGACTTTCTGCTGCCAACCTGGAACATGTTTGGAGCCACTGGTGGGTGAGAGCGGCTCTACCATACTCAGCTGGCAGAGGGGCCACAGTCCTGCCACCCCCTGGGTGATGTTGGCCCATTGCTTCCGCAGAGGCCAGGGCCCCTGTGCCCTGATCTCCCTAGGGGCTGTGTCGGGGGAGGGGAGAGGCGCCCTGGGAAGAACAAGTTAGGCAAGACCAACCAGGTTCAAATTCCAGCTGGCTCAGTAGCCCTGCACCGGTGGCCTCCCCTCTGACCCCATCCCCCTGTGTGTTGAGGGAGGGGACCCTGATTCCAGACCCTATCCTGGGAGTGTTCTGTGTACTCAGGTGGGATGTGACTGGGTCAGCCCTCTCCAACACCACCACCTCTGGGTCCAGCCTCTAAACATCTACCATCAGGCCTGTGGCCTGAGGACTGGCCCCTCCATCTGTCCCCTCAGCAGGCTGGGGCTGGGCCACTCAGTGGCCGTCCCCACCCACACCTTTCTGGTTTGACGGGAAACAGGCTGGGGCCACCTTGAGCCAGGATGTGTCTGAGGGGGGGATGTGGTGTATTCTGCAAGACCCTGGGCCACCCAGGGACTGGCAGGGGGGAGGGCCCTGCTAGGTTCCCTCAGACTTGCTTTCTGTGGGCATCCTGGATAACAGGTACAGCCAGGCTCAGTTCCGGGAGCAGGGGACAGGGTCCCCTCACTCAGTCTTGGTTGCCCCCAGCATCAGGAACCTCATTCCCTCCACTTCAGAGAAGATCGTAGCTTCCACTTGGAACTGGCCTAGGCCTTACTTCTGGCCTTCCTGGATGAGTGGCACTCAGAGCGTGGGAACAGGGTGGGCCTGGGCCCCACCCTGGAGCTGGGCTCCCCACAGGCCTGCCTGTCCCCGCCCCCACACGCACACACTTCCCACTGGGCTGGCTGCCTTCCTGCTTCTGGCCCTTTAAGGCCCCGGGCAGGAAGCCCCCCTCACTATGGCAATACATGCACAGTAAATGGTAGGGCCTGCTCGAGCCCTGCCTTGGTCCTCTGTTGCTACCTAGTTGAGTTGGACTGGCGGGCAGGGGGCCACCCATGCACCCCCACTGAATTCCTGTCCCATTAGACCAGGCCCAGGGACCAGGCCAGGCGAGCATTGGCATCAGGTCAGGGCTCTGTAACCCGTGGGGACCAACCTTGCAACATAGGCTGGGAGGGGGCGGGGGCCGTCAGGCACGGGCCTGGCAGGCTGCACCTGCAGCCAGACTTGCTGTGTGACCTTGGGGCTGCTGCCTAGCCTCTCTGGGCCTAGTGAAGGCAACTGTGAGAAGCCCCATATCCCTAATGGTTGGTGGTCACCGCAGCAGGGTCGAGCTATCTGGGCTCAGGCCTCAGCTGGATACTTGCTGACCAGAGTTCTCAAGGAAACTGAGGCTTAGAAGGGCGTGGCCTCTGGCAGGAGCTCATCTAGGAACCCTGGCAATGGAAGGTGGAAGGTGGCTGGGGTGGAGTCTGACCCCTCATTAGCTGGCCCCACCCCCTGAAGCGAGCAGGAAGGTGGTGGGTGCCAATTTTTCTTCCCAACCCCTTCCCAGAAGCCCCCTCTTCCTTCCTGTGGGTGGGACCTGGAGGCCAGTCCTTGTCTTCACCTGTGTGACCTTGGGAAGACCCCAGACTTAGACTTCCATCCCTCCCCCACCTCCAGCCTTGCTCAGGCCTGTCCCCACGCCTGAGCGCCCTTCCTCAGTCCCTGGGGCCTTCCTGGGTGCTGTGTGACCTTGGCTATCTGCGGTGTCTCTGAGTCTGTCAGGGCTGTGGAAGAAAGGTAGGAAGGAGGGGCACCTGGTCAGTTCCTGAACCTTCAGAAGAAAGGGAGGGCAGGTAGTCTGGAAAGTTGCTGCAGCAAGTAACCCTGGGTTAGAGGTGGGACCAGCAGCTGTCCCCTGATACTGGGTGTGTCAGCCTGCCAGGTGGGTGGGGCAGGGTGTGGGCCCGGGTCTTTGGTTCATCTGACCCTTTGCTGTGACCCTACTATATGGCCTGGCCCCAGGAGAGGGTGCCCCACCTCTCCAACCCAGAAGGGGCCTGCCAGGGCCTGCTCCTTGCCTGGCGGCCTACTCAGCACTGAACAGCCTCAGAAATCCCATGGAGGCAGGCACAGGCAGGAGCTGTCATGCAGGGACCCCAGTCAGTGTGGGAAGGTCTCCCCGAGGGGGTCCTAACCCTGGAGCTGGGCAGCCTCAGCTCCTTCTTGGTTGATGGATGTGGCTTACAGGTGCCTGGCCTGGGTTCCTGACACCCTGTCTAACCCAGGAGATAAGGCTGGGTCTCAGTGCCTGCTCCTTGCCTGAGGCCCCCAGAGTTCCAGGTGGTACTGAGGCCTAGGGTGTGGCGAGGCACATGGGGCTTGTCCCTGGGTAGAAGTCGGGTCATCTGTCTGCAGGGGCCCTGGGACCCAGACTCTGAGGAGGTGACAGGAGGGCCCTGCTGGTGGCCTCTTTGAGCTGCCCAGCTCTCTCTGGGCCTGTCACGTTTGTCAGTGGGGGTGTGTGTGATGTGATACAGGGGCTGGCTTCTGTGATCCTGTGTCTCCCAGGCCTGGCCCAGCCACGACCCACAGGCTGGAGCCGGGGTGCCGTTGTACTTAAAATAGGGCTTCGGCAGCCCCTGGCCCTGGAGCTCTATGCCTGGTGGGAAGCCAGGGTGGCTGTGCCCAAGGCGACAGCCAGGCTGACTCACTTGGACTTTTTCAGGCCCTGGGGGCCCCTGGAGGGACACCTTTCACCATCCCCTAAAGGGACCTGGGTCACCCCGGCTGGGGGAGATCTTTGGGGTCATGTGCCCCCTCCCTCTCAGTGGCAAGCTGTGGAGGGAGGGAACAGGCTTGTCTTGTCTGCCCACATGTTCCCTGAGGCCCGGGGCCAGACGGCAGATGGTGGCAGGGGGTGGAAGCCACCAATGGGGGCTCCTCGAGGCTTCCCAGGGCTGTGCCTGGCGTAGGGTTCCCCCTCTGGCCCCCTAGTCCCTGCAGTCACATCTGAGCCTCCCTCCTGTGCGGGGGTGAGGGGTGGGTTCTGCTCAAGCAGCTGGTGGGGCGGGAAGAGAGGGTGGGTGGCGGCTGAGGGGCACAAAGGACTCTTGTCACGGCCACTCTTATGGGGAGAGACCCACTATGAACGGTGCCTCCTTCTTGAACTTGTGGGTAATGGCCAGGTCAGGCAGGGGACAGGAGGAGCCTAGACAGGAGGCTAAGGAGGGTGTGGCTTGGGCATTGTCCCTTCTGAGGACAACGTCCAGTGGCCTCAGGCCTTACAGTGGCAGGTAGGAAGGTCTGGAGGAATGTGGGTCTTGTTGGGTGGTGAAGGGCAGTCTGGCTCCCTGGAGAGGGTGAAGGGGTGGGGACAGCGCCAGGGTTGCACAAGGCTGTGGGCAGATGAGTCACAGCTTGGGGGGGGGCAGAGAAGAGGAGGGGTGGGGACGTGTGGGATAGTCAGGTACCCCCCTGCCAGGCTCCTCCCTAGACGGCTGCCCATTTGCCAGGTGGGGAGACTGAGGTCTGGTGCATGCTGAGTGCCATCAAGCAAGCAAGGTGGACCTGCGTGGGGGCCATGGCCTGGCTCTAGTTAAAGTTTTCCCTATTACTCACTGGCTGGGTCTGGCCTGGGGGCACCCCAAATGTATAGATCCAGAGTAGGCCTGGCCTCACTGTGGGGTGTGGGCAGGTAGTTTTCCTTCCCAGGCCCCTGGAGAGACAGGCTGGGGGCCTCCTCAAGACCCAAGACTGGTCTGCAGGCACAGGGAGTCCCCAGCCCGTCTCTGGCCTCTTCCTCTACCACGACCAGGTTCTGGGTACTAAACCGAGGCTGGGAGGTGCAGGAGTTCCCCTGGGGAAGCTGAGGCTGGGGAGACTGGGAGAGTCCTCTCCTGATGGCCGCCCCTCCCTGCAGGTGTCGGCGCGGAAAATGGCTGGCGGCGTGGACGGCCCCATCGGGATTCCGTTCCCGGACCATAGTAGTGACATCCTGAGTGGCCTGAACGAGCAGCGGACGCAGGGTCTACTGTGCGACGTGGTAATCCTGGTGGAGGGACGCGAGTTCCCCACGCACCGCTCGGTGCTGGCCGCTTGCAGCCAGTACTTCAAGAAGCTATTCACATCAGGCGCTGTCGTGGACCAGCAGAACGTATACGAGATCGATTTTGTGAGCGCCGAGGCACTGACAGCACTCATGGACTTCGCCTACACGGCCACGCTCACGGTCAGCACGGCCAATGTGGGTGATATCCTGAGTGCAGCGCGGCTGCTGGAGATCCCGGCCGTGAGCCATGTGTGTGCAGACCTGCTAGAGCGCCAGATCCTGGCTGCCGACGACGCTGGTGACAGCGGCCAGCCCGACGGGGCGGGACCCACGGACCAGCGCAACCTGCTGCGTGCTAAGGAGTACCTGGAGTTCTTCCGCAGCAACCCCATGAACAGCCTGCCTCCTGCTGCCTTTCCATGGTCCGGCTTCGGGGGCCCTGACGACGACCTGGATGCCACCAAGGACGCTGTGGCTGCAGCTGTGGCCGCCGTGGCTGCGGGCGACTGCAATGGCTTGGACTTCTATGGCCCAGGACCCCCGGCCGAGCGTCCCCCCACAGGCGATGTGGACGAGGGTGACAGCACACCGGGGCTATGGCCCGAGCGGGACGAGGACACCCAGGCCGGAGGGCTCTTCCCGCCTCCTGCCGCCCCACCGGTCGCCACGCAGAACGGCCACTATGGTCGCGCAGGGCCTGGGGAAGAGGAGGCGACATCACTGTCAGAGGCGGCCCCTGAGCCCGGCGACTCCCCAGGCTTCCTGTCCGGTGCAGCCGAGGGCGAGGATGGAGACCCGGCCGAAGTGGATGGGCTGGCTGCCAGCACACTACTGCAGCAGATGATGTCGTCGGTGGGCCGGGCAGGGGACAGCGATGAGGAGTCCCGTGCGGACGACAAGGGCGTCATGGACTACTACCTGAAGTACTTCAGCAGTGCTCATGAGGGCGATGTGTACCCAGCCTGGTCGCAGAAGGGCGAGAAGAAGATCCGGGCCAAGGCCTTCCAGAAGTGTCCCATCTGTGAGAAGGTGATCCAGGGCGCGGGCAAGTTGCCCCGCCACATCCGCACACACACAGGCGAGAAGCCCTACGAGTGCAACATCTGCAAGGTTCGCTTTACCAGGTGAGCCCTGCAGCAGACGGGACGGTGGGAGGGAGGGACTGGGGAGCAGTGCCCGGGCCTTGCCCTGCACCTTCTGAGTTCCTTGGCCTGCTCTTTTCCCACGCCTGAGTGAGAGACTGCCAGTTTGTCTAGTTGGTCACTGGCTTGATGGTGTTTTCGCTTTTTGAGATTGGGTCTTGCGGTGTACAGCAGGTGGGCCTGAAACTGGCAGACATCCTCCTGCCTCAGCTGTCCAAGTGCTGGGGAAAGCGTGTGCCACTGTCCCCGGCTCCAGCTAGTGGTTGTTAGGCGGCACCTGTCAGATGCAGGGATGCTGCTGGGGACAGATGGTCCAGATTCCCATAAGGCCACCAGCTAGGCCTCCCTGAGACTGTTCAGTTGAGCAGGGGAAGGACTCAAGCAGTGAACAGCTGTGCAAAGGCCCTGGGGCCAGTTAGCTTGGAGAGTCTCTGGGCCCAAGCTGTAGGTGTGGAGATGAGAGCTCAGGTGTAGTCACAGTGCTGTTTGTGATTGAGGCTGGGGAGTCCAGAGCTGTGTAGACCCAGGGCAGGCTAGGCCCGTGTGTGTGTGTGTGTGTGTGTGTGTGTGTGTGTGTGTGTGTGGCGGTGGGGAGGTGACTGGCAGGCAGGGGTGCAGCCAGGCCCAGTGACTCAGCGTTACCCCCTGCCCTGGGGTTCTCCAGCCACACCTACCTGGCCTGAAAAAAAGAATCTATTGTCCTAACTTCCTGACCCCACCCGACCCCCTCCTCAGCACCCTGGCCCCCTCCCCAGAGGGCAAGAGAGATGGGTGTGGCAGGGCTCCAGTGCCCAGGAGTGCCAGGTGGGGACAAAGAGCACCGTGAGAGGCAGTTGCTTCAGTGGGTGAGACTAGGGGTGGGTAGGCTCCTCCCCCGGGGAGTGTCTTGGGGTACGTGACCCCTGCTTCAGATCCTGGGCCATCTAGCTGCCATCCAACACAGGTCCCTTCTCACCAGGTGTGTACCCTGGCTCTACTCTAGCTTGGGGCTGGCTGGTCCTCTCAGAGAGACTGAGGCCCAAAGTGGGATGCCTGGTGAGGCCTTTTCTCCCATGGCCTGCCTGCTCACCCCTTCTCTGGGGCCTTCCCCACCCCTTAACCGCCCCCTCCAGGCCTGGAGCCCGGGGCCCCTGTGACTCACAATGAGTGTTGAGTAAGCCAGTCCTGTGGCAGCCGGGGCTATAATTACCCATGCCAGGGCTTGGGTGCTGTAACTGGGTCTGCCTCCCACCCCCACCCTGCCTCTGTGTGGCCCCTGTCCTGCTGTGCAACCCTAGGCCAGTCAATTCTCCCCTCTGAGCCTTCTGGGGAAATCTCCATACACAGCTAGAAAAACTTTAACCACTGGGGTGCTGGGGAGGTGGGGCCTATGTAGGGGGACAGCCGAAACCCCCTACACTGGGTGCCGATCTCAGGAGGGAAGTATGCAGGATGGGGTGAGGTTCATCTCATCCATCTCATCCATGTCCTCTTGGCACAGCTGAGAGAGACAAGGGTCTGGAGCAGAAGACCACTGGCCATGTCCTTCAGAGCAGTAGGGAGCAATGGAGGGTACAGGGATGGCAGCCTGGGCCGTGCCAGAGACATAGCCCAAGCAGGAGCTGGGTCCCTGGGGAGTGGCAGAGGCAGAGGGGCACCCAGCGTGGGGCCATGGGGGCTGAATAGGAGTTTATCAGTCCTCAGGGTCAAAGAAGCTCTCGGGGTTGCTGGAAGAGTGTGGAGTCTAGGCCAGCCTGGGTCACATGGGGAGTCAGTCCTCAGAAAGGACAGACACAGAGCTAAGAAATGTCACATAAGTCAGGTAGAGGGTGGGATAAAGTGACTAACTCAGTAGGTGCAGCCTCAGGCTGCTCAGTAGCAAAGGGACTCTGCTTACTTTGCAGAACCTTTACCCTTCTTTTCCCCTTTGAGGCAGTGATGAAGCCTGTCATCCCAGCCCCCAGGAGACCGGGACAGGCTCTGTCTCAGGAGTGTAGGGGTGTGGGGGTTTCTGCAGGGTGGCCTGGGTAGGATGTATGCATGCCTTTGGGATGTATAGCTTTTGTTTGAGATGGGGGTCTCTGTGTATAGACCAGGCTGTCCCACAACTGGCTCTGTAGCCCAGGTTGGGCTCCAGCTCACAAACCTGCCTCTGCCTCCCTAGTGCTGGGGTTGAAGATGTGTGCCTCTCCAGTAAACAACTCTTAGGTTGTGAGTCTAGCCTTCAGGTGCTGAGCCATCTCTCTAGCCAGAACACCCACTGTGGTCCTGGGCCCCCTCTCCCTGGTGGCATTTGCAGGGCCTGGCACCTGAGCAGGTGCCCAGTGAATCAATAATGTTGGTGAGAAGAGGCTCACTCACCCTCACTGGTCTCTGCCAGCTGTGGGAAGGAAAAAGGTCACTTTATTTAGTTTAGTATTTTCCAGGGATTGCAGTGACGCCGTGTGTGGGCATTGGCAGAGGTGCTGGGGTGGGGCTAGGGGCTCCCGGGTACCCGCTGACTGTGCCCCCGCCCGCCCACAGGCAGGACAAGCTGAAGGTGCACATGAGGAAGCACACGGGGGAGAAGCCGTACCTGTGTCAGCAGTGCGGCGCGGCCTTCGCACACAACTACGACCTGAAGAACCACATGCGGGTGCACACGGGGCTACGGCCATACCAGTGCGACAGCTGCTGCAAGACCTTTGTGCGCTCCGACCACCTGCACAGACACCTCAAGAAGGACGGCTGCAACGGGGTCCCCTCGCGCCGTGGCCGAAAGCCCCGCGTGCGGGGTGTGCCCCCCGATGTCCCCACTGGGGCCGTTGTGCCCCCCGGGCTCCCCGACACCCCGCGCAATGGCCAGGAGAAGCACTTTAAGGACGAGGATGAGGACGAGGATGAGGCCAGCCCCGACGGCTCAGGCCGCCTGAATGTAGCGGGCAGCGGTGGCGACGATGGTGCAGGTGGCCCCGCGGTATCCGCCGCAGAGGGTAACTTTGCAACCTGACTTGTATTCAAAACAAAACAAACCAAAAAACAAAACAAACTAAGAGAACAGAGAGAAACCACACCCACCCCAGCACCACAGCTGTCTGTCCAGACGCCCTCCATCCATCCACGCGCGGACCTGTGTGCGTGTATATATCCATGGCCGTTGCGGGCACGCCTGCCTTTCTCAGATTCTTAGGACGTGGCCCCATCCGCCCCCATGCTCCTCGCCCTGTCCGCGTGGGGTCCCACCCCGGGGGTCCCCTGCCTGCTCCTGGATAAGGTGAAGGTGATGGGGACCCCCAGGACAGGTGCCCGGCTCCTTGCTGGTTGGTTTTAGGGGTCTCAGACAGACCTTAAATGCTTTCTGTCCACAGTAAGTGGACGTTAAAATGGTCCCCGGCTCCCCACCCTCCTTCCTCAGGGCACTTACTAAAGAGGGGGGTGTCCCCTCGGCCTCCCCGCTCCCGTCTCGCCTGTGGCCTCGCACCTCTGCACACCCCACCCTGGCCACCACTGATATACAAGTCTATTTATTCCCAACCTGGGTGGCTGGAGCTGGGATTTGGGGGGCCGCTGGGGTCCCGCCACCCTCCTTCACGGCACTTAAACCTGGCGTGGTCCTCAGAGCCACTGCTCAGGGTGACCCCCCACCCTCCCGTCTCCGCTAGCCAACCCCTTCACCCCGTACCCCACTTTTTAAAGCACTTTTTAGATCTATTTCCCTTCTTCCTCCTTAAAGACAATTTATATAGAGATATAGAGAGAGATATATATAAAATATTCTTTTCTCAGAGGAGCCGGCAACAGTTTGGGGGAATGTAGCCAAGATCAGAGGGGACCCCAGGGACTCAGGCAGGGATGGGGGGAGGGGGCAAGAGAGGCTTAATATCACAAAACAGCAATAAAACCCAGGATTTTAGTAAACACAAAGGCAGAACATTAAAAAAAAAAAAAAAAAAAAAAAAAAAAGCAAAAGCGGCGACAGCCATGTGGGGATCTTGGCACTTTGTAACTGAACGGGTACTTTTCATTCTTAACTTAAGAAATGTTTACAAGTTGCACCCAGCTTCTATGAAAAATTGGAGAGAGAGAGAGAGCGAGAGAGAGAGAGAGAGAGAGCAGGCAAGCAAGCAGTGGAAAGTAAGTCAATTTATTTTTGTATAAAATAAAAGAAACCCAACCCATTGCTCCAGTAGAATCCACTTGTGTTCCCGAGACTCAGGGTGGGGAAGGCATCCTCTGTGTGAAGGGACCTAGGGACCCGAGTCTGCCAGGCCCCCTCCCTGTCCCCAGCTCACTTGATTTTCTCTTGTCTCTGTTGGAGACCACAGGCCTGGGCAGCCACTGTCCCCTCCGGCTCGCCAGTTTGCTTCCCAGCTCAGGGATGTCCCGAGAGAGGGCTGGTTTCCCACCAGCCAGGCCCTGCTACCCTGCCCGCCCCCCTCCCGTGTCGTAGTCCCTCCTAGGCACCCCCTCTTTTTACTCAAAGGCACTGACTGTAACCTAGGGGCTGGCACCTGATCCCCCACACCACGAACTCCGGCTTTCCCCCAAAGGCCCGGTGTGACCGAGCCACAGGCCACGGACAGGGGCCGGGGTTGGGGGACGTTGCTGCTGGGTGCCGGTGCACATGGAGGTGTCCCTGTGTCCTATTTTGTTGACAAAGTAACCTTTTCTTTGGTTTTAAAGGGAAGCCACATAAGAAGGCCACTTTCCAGTTTCTAGCAGAGAGAGGTTTTCCTTTTCATCCCCTCCCAACCTGCGAGTTCCTCCCAGATGTCTCAGGATCCCCCCCCCCCTTGGGGCCAGCAGAAGGGGCAGGCCCAGGGGTGGAGTGGTGCTGGCCTCCCTCTCACCCCACTCCCGCATGAGCGGTCCCGGGAACCATGCTGTGCCCGAGCAGGGCCCAGCAGCCCCCCATTCCTCCATCCTCGCAATAAAACCAACTTAATCACACGTCATCCTGGCCAGTGGCCACCAGATTTGGGGCCGGTGGAGCCCTTGGGGACTGTGGTGGGGGGTGCCCCATAGCCCGCCAGCGACAACGCAAACCCCCTCGGGAATTGCACTAATCCCTTACCCCTAGCTCCGCGCTCAGCTTCTGCCCACCCACACCCACCTTGCCTTAACCGTCAGCCCGTCCTGGGGGGCCACAGCCACCGCATGGGCCCAGTGCTGGGACACCCCCCCCCAAGGCCCGCTCCCTGCTCCCCATATACTGCAATCACATACTGTATATAGAATGTGGATTGATTTTTACAAATTTTTATTCTTTAAATTAAGGCCGTGATAAAAGTTGCCAAAGAGAATTGTGGAATTCACTAGAGGTTTAAGCGGAGGAGGGTGCTGTAGAAGGGTTTTTATTTGGTGGTTTGGGGGGTTTAGTGTGTGTGTGTGTGTGTGTGTGTGTGTGTGTGTGTGTGTGTGTGTGTGGTTTTATTTTTAAATGCCTGGTATAACAAAAAAAAAATCGGAAAAGAAAAAAAAAACAAACACCAAATTTGTTACTTCCATTATGGTGAATTTCCATGTGTGTGAGTGTGAGACAGAGAGGGCCCAGCCTGGGGGTTTCCGGGGACCCCAGGATTGGGGAGGGCATGCGGCCTGCAGCTGTCCCCAGCCTGTGACCTGAGCATAGGCCTCCCCTGCTGAATAGTTGCTGCTCTTTGCCTTCCTATCCCTACCGGCCTTTCGAGATTAAGAAAAAAATAAAATAAAAAGGCAAAAAAATAATAAAAAATGAAAAAAAATCTATATATAGAGAAACCAATGAATGTAAATGGCAGAGCTGGCCCAGCCTTGGCCCTGCCAAGCTGGTCTCAAGTGGGCAGAACCAAAGTGGGTGCCCGGGGGTGGTCATTCAGGAGGACCCCCGGCCACCACCCTGTCTGTCACCCTGTTTGCTGACCTTCCTTGAGGGTGCTCCAGTGGGTCCCCTGGGTGGGCGGCCAGGGAAGACTGCTGCTGTGACAGCAGCCTTGCAGTACAGGTGGATCTCAGGCTGGCTGTTCAGGGACTCCTGGATGTCCACAGTGCAAGCAGTAGGGATTGTAAGGGGGACACAGGCTGAAAGGAAAAATAGAAAAAAACAAAAACAAAAAAAAAGACAAAAACCAACAAAAAAATAAAGAGAGCAAAATCCTATTTTTTGAGAAAGAAAGATATTTATATTTGCAATTTTATTTTAAAAAGTTATTTAAGCTGAGGAAACAGCCTTCCCGGAGTTTGGGTGGCTGGCACCGGACGGGTCAGGGGTCTTGGGGGCTCCTCACCCCAGGAACGATTATCTCAGTTTAGAACTAGCTCGCACTAAATAATGACTTACCTTGGTGGGGGAAGGGGTTTCAGGAGACAGAGGGCCAGGGGAGTCCTGCCCCAGGCCCAGAACGAGGTGCCTTGGATTTTGGGGGCCCAGGCCTGGTGCATAGGGGTCCGGAGCACAGAACAGACATTCCACTGACTGGATGTAAGAATCTTTATTAAAAAGTGTGAGAGGCAGAACGAAAACAAACAATTGATTTAAAAAAAAAAAATGCACTTTTTGGGGGTGGGGGGACAAGCTTTAAAAGTAATAAAAAACAAACAAAAGGTTATGAAAAATCCAAAAAAATAGAATTCATTTTTCTTGTACATAAAAGAGAAAACCCAACCACTAAATGCAGCCTGTTACGACGTCTCCTTGCCTGGTCTCTGTGTTGTCTTGTATGGGGGAGGGGGGATGTCTCTAAGACACCCAGTCTGCCCGGTTTCACATGACCTATGGGTGGAGCCTAACAGAGGGACCCAGAGGGTCCCAGGGTGGGTAGTGGTATTTTTCCAGGCCATTCCTGGGAAAGGAGATGACCCGTGGACATTGCAGGCCCTGGGTGGGCTGTGCCTGGACATTAGGATGTCCCACCCCCCCACCCCTCCCCCACCAAGGTGCTGCCCCCATCTGGGCTCCAGTGACCTTATCAGGCCTAGGGGGCCCGGAAACCTCAGCTGGCTGTGGACAACTTCCTGTTCCCAGGAGGAAGTGGGGCTTGGGGCCCTGTCACTGGGGAAAGGGGATGGGGTGGGTGTGGGGTCCAGCATCCACCTCTGGATGCTGAAGGCCTCCAGCTGTCCTCCCAAAGGTTATGTCCAGAACAGTGAAGTCAAAAATGGATAAGGTACACTTAGGTCCTGTTGGGAACCCATCAGGTCTGAGTTCTGCATCGTGGACGTGTGTACTCACAGGTGACAACCTCAGCTCTGAGGGGTAGACTCTTGCCTGGTGCTTACCTGCTGGACTCAATTCTCAGACAGGTGCTCTTTGGACCCACGTGGCCAGTGGGCTGGAGCCACAGAGCGGGGCTGAGCAGGGCAGGCTCCTGGGTCTGGGGGGTACAATGCTCACACATGCTTGCATGTAAGACTCCCTGTCAAATGCCAAAGTTTTCAGTATCAGGATCACCCTGTCTCCCTCATGGATCACCAGCTCCAGCCACATTGAATGGTCACTGTCTCAGCACAATGCCCTCACCATTCCCACACTCTATTGGTTTCGTCTGAGCCTTGCTCTGGCTGAGCATCCAGTAGTACTCCAGTGTGTATTTTCCATACATTTTGTAGACAGTTTCTGAGTGGGTAGGTATTCACTCAGGGGTCTGCCTGCCCATGTTTAACTTTTTGATGGGCCTTCTGGTGACAATGAGTGACATTACCCAACAAGGCTATTCCAGCTCTCAGCTCCTAGAGTTGGGCAGGCTAGCCTGGGCTACAGAAAAACCACAGATAGTGAAGACCAGCTACTTTTTTTTTTTTATTTGCATTTTTAAAAAACAATTAAATTAGAATACAAATATTAGAAAAGAGTGCCGCGTGGCTGGTGAGGGCCCCGGCCTCCCAGCGAGTTCATGCGGAGACACCGCCAGGCCGCCGCTCCGGTGACCCGGTATTGCTTCCTGACAGTCGGGTGGGGAGGACGGCAGACGGTGAAGAGCAAGGCTCCTGAAGGTAGGGAGGCAGCCAAGGAGCCCCAAGCCCACCGCAGGGCCGCCCAGTGGGGAAGTGAACCTGAATGAATTGGAGTTACCGAGGTAGCTGGCTAGAAAACGACACCCCCCCACGCCACGCGGGTCCGCGACACCACGTTATTGCACATTGTGGCCGCTGTCCCCGGCCCGCCGCCCCACCATGGCTTCTCAACTAAATACGCAGCCGGGCCAGCGCTCCGTGCTCGGCCTCAATGCAGGAAAAAGCAGAAACAGCCACACAGCCGGTCGCCCATCCAGTGTCCAAGGTCCCTCCTGTGGGGGCCCCACGGGGATTGCTCCAGGAGGTGGGGCGCAAGCTGCCGGCCTGTGTAAGTGTTGATTTGCTCGTTTTTTCTCGTTTTTGTACTTTTCTCATTTTTTGTCACTTTACTGTTTTTTTTTTTGTTTGTTTTTGTTTTTTTTGTTTTTTTGTTTTTTTGTTTTAAATCCCTCCAAGGGGAGAGTCCAGAGGTATGGGAGCCAGGAGCTGGGGAGGGATGGGCAGGGGAGGCCGGCGCGTCAGCAGGCGGGCACCAGGCCCTTCTGGAATGGGCAGCGGCGCTTCGGCCGGGGGCCCTCATCGTCGTCCTCTTCATCCTCCTCCTCCTCATCGTCATCCTCTGAGGATGACGAGCTGTCCAGTGTGAGGTCCACCACATCGGCGCCAGGCTTCCCGTTCTCCAGGCCGCCCACTGCCCCTGCCCCGCTGCCTACGCCGCCCAGCGCGCTGCCCAAGCTGCCTCCCACGCCAGGGGTGCTGGAGGCCGGTGGGAGGCCGTTGGCGTCAGAGGTGCCTATAGGGACAGGGACAGACACAGTGCTCAGCCAACAGTCTGGGGAAGTTGGTGTGGCTGCCAGGGTGGTATGCTGGGACTCACCGAGAACCAGGATGGGGCCCTGTGGGCTGCAGCTGGGCTCCTTCTCAGCACGAATTGGGCGCCAGGAGCCTTCCGCCAGGAACTCGATCTCATCTGCATCCTCACACTCACTCAGGATCTTTGACAGCAGCCTTAGGAACAGCAGGGCGGACAAGGCTGGGCTCGGGCAGAGTTCACTGCCTGCAGCCCACATACCTGGACAACTGCTACACACCCTCTGGGGCCCTGAGGTCTGTCCAGAGCTCACTAACTTCCCACAGGCCAGGGCTGGGGTCACAAGAGGAGTGGCCTTGTTGGCTACCAATCGGAGTCTTCCTCCAGGAAACCCCCTGACCACATCAGGGTGGTGGCACTGGGTTCCACCAAGGGCAGAAGCACCTGCTGAGCCTGCCAGCCCGATACCGATGCTGTGTGCCCAGAGCCCAGGGCGAGGGAGAGCTTGGGGTGGAGGACCACAGCTGGCCGAGAACAGAGAGCAATTGAGCCCAGTCCACATGCCCAGGACTCACTCCACCCAATGCTAGAGCTCGCCAGGGAAGTGCCCCATCCAGCAAGGACCCAAGGCAAAGTTGGCCATCTGCAAGCTGAAGGAGTTGGGCTGCTGGCTGCCTCCAAGCCTCAGTTTCCTCATCGGGAGCACGGCAGGGTCTGCTGGGGACACATTCAAGTTCCTCAGCTAAGCCCAAGGATAGGTAGAAGACACCAGGGGCCCAGGCAAGTGTTCTGAGGACCCTGGCCACCTATGCTGGCTCTAGAGATATATAGCTGTGGCTGGCACCTGCCAGGAGTCTCTGGTATACTGTACAGCAGACCCAGTGTCTGGAGTGGAGAGCTGACCTGTCCCAAGGCGAAGTGCGACCCTCCCTCCATATGTGATGTGGGGCAGATTCTTGCCTGTTGCCTCCATAGGGAGGTCACTTGCAAAGACTGGGACCTCAAGGTCACAGGCAGAGGGGACTTCAGGCAGAATGAAGCTAAGACACAATAACCCTTTCCACAGCAAAGGCTACAAGTCCTGTAACGGAGGCCACAGGCCCAACTGGTGGGGCAGCTCAGGCAGCTGGTATTTCCAGTGCAGAGCCTGGCTTGGCCCTCCCTCCACAACAGAGCCCAGGTCATACTCACCCATCTATGATGAGCTGGTCATAGGCAGCGGGCTTGTCACACACAGGGCACATCCACGTGGGCTTCTTTTCATTCATCTGCAGGTAGAAGACAGCATCGAAGCACTGGAGGTGCGCACAGGTCTCTGCACGGCAGGGAACCGACAGCCGCATCTTCACCAGCTGTGAGGGAAAGTACAGGGTGTAAGGACAGTGTCTCACAAGCAACTGACCACCCGAGTAGCTGGGGACAGATGGGGGGATGACTCACTGGGCAGATAAGGGACACTCGCACTCCAGTAGTGGCGATCTCACTGTCAGGGTCTAGGCGAAGCTTCTCCTTGACTGTGAGGTGACAAAGGGATGAGGAGCATCAGAGGGCGGGGCCCTTCCACAGCTGCAGGAGGCTGCAGGACTCATATAGACCAGGCTAGCCTCCAAATCTCCTTCTAGTCAGATCCTTCTGCCTGCAGTTCCTGAGTACCTTGCCCGGGTGTCACTTCCAACATCCTGAGCCCCACAAACCCTGATGCACTCCACACAGGGGCCTTGCAGCTTAAGGGACATTGACCAGGTTCAGCCCAGGCACAGACACAATGCACCTATAACTCTGCTGTTCCCACCCTGGCTACCAAACAATAGAGTTGGTGGCCTTAGCCTGCAAAGCATGCCTTCACCTCTCCAGGTATGAGCAACCCCAGCTGGCCTGGGCTACCTCCTCCTGGTCAGAGGCCTTGGCCTCCAAGACGTCATTATATCACAGGGACATTTGATCAGAGGCATTCCCTACTCAGAACAGGCCAGAACCCAGCCTGGCCAACCCCAAATGGGAGGAACAACAGTCTTAGATGCCCAGGCGGCTCAGGCCTTCCTGCAAAGAAATGGCAGGGCCAATGAGGGCCCCATCAGCCAAGTATGGGTGGGCTGCTGCTGCAGGTGCTCTGTCTTTCACAACCACATTGTCCAGTCTTAAAAAAAAAAAAAAAAAAAAAAAAAAAACTTGTCACAGCCAGGCAGTGGAGTCCACACCTTTAATCCCAGCACTTGGTAGGTGGAGGAAGAGGCAGGTGGATCTCTGAATTTGAGGCCAGCCCACTACAGAGTAAGCACCAGGATAGCCAGATCTATACAAAGAAACCGTCTTAGAAAAACAAAACCAGCCAACCAACCAAACAAACAAACAAAAAAATCAACTGTCACAAGTAAGTATACAAAACCTGGCCTTAAATCTCATGCATCACCTTCCTCCCAGTGTGCCCACCTGCCCTTGCTCCCCGATTTGTGGGAGGCAAGAGGTTTGCCTGTCAACCATAAGGCTCTGAGCCCACAGACCAGACCCCTAAACTCCCAGATCAAGATCCAGAATCCCCTGAGTAGAACCTTGAACCCAGGCTGATCATCTTTGCTCCAAATCCCTCCGCCACCTTACATGTAGCATGGGTGCTGTACAACCTGGGACAGAGCAGGTCCTGCCAGGCACAGGCAGGCCCCGGAGCCCCTGGTGCTCACCCAGTGCCTTGCAGAGCTCTGGATGCTTCACACCAATTGTCTTCAACCTCTGCAGCAGGTCTGAGGAGGTCAGCTGCCGTACCAGGTACAACGCCACGGAGTAGCTCTGTGGACAGAGCGGCTGCAGCATCAGGTACTGAATGCAGGGTGGATGGGATGAGCGTGGGATGATGGGTGCTGGGTGCAGGTGGATGGAGTGCTGGGTGCAGGGTGCTTACCTTGCCGTAGTTACCCCAGGTGACAGTGATGCGGTTGGTGGCCGAGGAAAGATACATGAGATGGGTGAGGTTGATGGGTCTGCAGGGCCTCTTGGGTTCCACACCAGGCTTATTAGACGGGTAGTAGCCCTGTGGACAGAGCTGTGCTCAGCCCCACCAGGTCCCCATTCCTCCCTGCGTCCGTGTCACCCACTCCCCAGGCTGCTGTGGCCTCACTCACCGGCACTGAGCAGTAGCTGTGGTTAACCTTCACAGCGATGTTGGGTGGGTACTGATCCTCCTGTGGACAGCTGGTATCAGAGTAACAGATCCTGGGGAGACAGTGGGACACGGGGCTGTGGGGGCACATGGGGACACAGGGGGGCTGTGAAGACAAGCAGCAGAGGAAAGAGTATGTGCAAGTGCCAACAATGGTGGAGGTGCAGGGGTGGGCAGCATGGGGTTGTATGTGCAGAGCGATGGCCTGCCACAGGAGAGGCTGGGCTAGGGCATCTCTCTTACCTCAGCACCACCTGCACGGCTTTCACTCCAGGCTGCAGCTCTCTGTGGACAGAGTACAAGGCAGCAGTCAGTGGGCAGTGCAAACCGCACAGAGAGCCCTCCTGATGATCACCAGGTAAGTGAGTGGACACAGGAGAGCAGTGCCACTGGCCCACATCCCAGCCTGACCTCTGTCCTGACAAATGGGGCAGTGATAGTCTTGACTGCAAGGCAGGCAATGGCCAGGACAGTCCAGAGGGTCAGAGCTTCACTAAGCACCTCCACAGGTTCACCCATATCCATTTTGCCCAAGGGGCCCTGGTGACATCTGTGATGCATGTAGTTGGGGAGCTTCTGGCATGGAGGAGGTAGATGTGGGAAAGCTGTGCTCATGAGGCTGCAGGGCCCCACTGTCTTAGCCCAGCACAGGTGGGCAAGCACACCTGGAGTTGCGGATCATTTCCACCTGCCTCGGTGTCAGCGCGAAGATGCACGGGCTCTCCTGCAGCTTCTCCGTGCTCTGTGGGACTAAACACACATGGGTCAGGGCACCTGGCTGTAGCTCCCCAGCCACAGGGCAAGAGGCCAGACTGCTGCCTGGGATTCAGAGGACACGCGGGCCCCACCACTGCCATCTGGGTCCCTCTGGAGCTGGGAATCCCAAAGGCATAAGGCACTTCATCTGCAGTCTCCATCAGTCATCGTGGCTCCTAGGCGGATTGCTGATCCAAGGTGTACGAGGTCCCAGTCCCTTCCTCAGCAAAGTGCTCTAACTCCATGTGTTCATGTGACACAGCCTCCTCCAAGGGAGAGGAGGCAGTTTGAAGTACACACCAGCCACCCTAGTATGTAAGAGGCTGAAGAAGAAAGGTCTTGGATTCAAACCTAGCCTCAGGTCTAGGCCAGTCTGAGGCAAAAGGGCACAGCTGCGGGGAGCAGGCCCGAGCTCCACCTAGTACTGCAGGACCAACCCCTGTCCCTGTCAGGTGGCATTCCCTATCTGGCCACAGGCACTGCCAGTGAGTGAGTGAGGACCACTGCTGTGTAGCTGAGGGCCTGAGGGAAGGAGCGGGAGCTCAGGGCTACCTGGGCACACTCACATTTGTCTAGCCTGGAGAAACCACCCTGAGGGAGGGTAGGGAGGGAGCAGCAGTGCCATGGCAGGCACTTGAGCTTGCAGAGGCTAGGCAGGAGGTCGGAAGCCTCCTGGGAGGCTTCTGTGGTACAGGGGATGGGCCCCACACCATAGCAGCCAACTGAGGCTTGTCCTACTCTATGCTGCTCAAAGGGGCCACAGAGGATTCCCCAACAGTGCCTCTGCCCCCTTGTCCAGCAGTCAGGCCCTAGAGCAGTGGCCTGTCTAAGATACTGAGGGCAAAGGTTCTTTAGCAGTAGCAGCTGGGAACTGAACAACTCGTGGCCTTACAAACCAGGCCCACCTTTGTCTTAGGGCCTCTGTACCCACAGCCCACCCATTTTTCCCCACTTTTTAACCCGGCTGGCCTTGAACCTGCAAACCTCCTGAGAACCTGATTAAAACTACAGGACTGCCAGACTGTGGTAGAACAAGCCTTTAATCCCATCACTGGGAAGGCAGAGACAGATGGATCTCTGTGAGTTCAAGGCCAGCCTGGTCTACAGAGTGAATCCCAGGACAGCCAGGGCTACACAGGGAAACCCTGTCCAGAAAAACCAACCCAAAAAACAGAAGGACTGGCTGTGAGCTCAAGGCCAGCCTAGGCTACACACACAGAAGCCCTGCTCCCCCTGCCCCGACCATCAACAACTTTCACTTTCTCTGGGCCACTGCAGCATGAGCTACGGGCAGACCTCCACACCATTGACTAGACAGTGCAAGCACAGCTGCTGAGGGACCCACAGCCACCAACCCCAGCATGCCTGAGGTGGGGCAAAAATACCAGGTGATCACGAAAACCCAACAGGGCAGGCAGGAAACAGACAGGGCACTCAAGGCCTGGAAGAAAACACCCAGGCCCTGCACATGGGCACTGGCTACCCAGTAGAGACACAAGGTGACCAGAACCAGCACTGGGTACCCCTCAACACCACAGCCACACTGTGTCACTGTCTTAGTCTCAGGCAGCCTCACAAGGGATTATAGTGATGGGTGTTTAACTCAGGCCTAGCTTGTTGCACCAGGAGGGGCCAAGGCAAACAGTGGGAGCCAAGCATGCTTCAGGGGAACTGTCACAGGACAACATGGTGAGCTTGTGTTTATCATGGCTGCCATAAACTCCAGTTCCCTGACAGTACCTTAGCCTGCCATGTAGGGGGTCCTGAGTCAGGACAGCATGGAGACCAGCACTGGGGACAGCACTGTGGGACTCAGGGCTGGGTGGCTGGGTGAGGATGTAGCCCATGCCACTGGAGTGTGCAGGAACAGAGCAAGGGCTGTATGCCCACCTGTGCTGCTCGTCTGCTCCAAATCAGTGACCTGAATTGGGTATCAGAGAGCAAGGGTGATGCTAGGTACAGTGGCACATAACTGTCAGTTCAACACTGGGGAGGTAGAAATAGGTTGACCAGAGGTTCAAGGTCAGTCTTGGCTAGATAACGCCTGAGACCCTGCCTCAAAACATGGCACACACACACACATACAAATCATGCAAAAGATGAAAACAGACGAAGGCAGTGTGGGGAGGAAACTATAATGGAGATGTGAAGGGCAGAGCACTGGGGGCTCTGGAACTGGACAGGCCTGCCCACAGTCAGTAAGTGCTATGCGGTGGGACCTGTGATCGTAGCACTGCAAGGGTGATGCCAGAGCAATGGTTCTCAACCTGGTGGGGAGGGTCATGACTCCTTCGGGGGTCATTTGAACCTTTCACAGGGGTCACACAAGACCACCAGGAAACATATTCATAACAGTAGCAAAATTACAGTTATGAAGTAGCAACAAAATAATTTCATGGTGGGAATCACCACAGCATGAGGGACTATGTTTTGTTTTGGAGACAGGGTTTCTCTGTGACTTTGGAACCTGTCCTGGAACTAGCTCTTGTAGACCAGGCTGATCTCTAACTCAAGGAGATCCGCCTTCCTCTGCCTCCCGAGTGCTGGGATTAAAGGTGTTCGCCACCAACGCCCAGCTGAGGGACTATGTTAGGAAGGCTGAGAGCCACTGGTTCCAGGCCAGCCGCAGCTACATTGTTTGTTAGCCCTGCCATAAAAACTACATCAACTAAACAAGAACAACAGCAGGCTTCCCTGGTAGCCAAGGAGCAGACTCATATGCACAGCAAGGGGAGATGGCTTGTGTGCAGTGTGTGAAGAGGCTTGCATCCCAGGGACCTGGGGTCACAACCCTGGCCACCTCCTCTGGTCCAGGCCTACCACTCCTTCCTCCCACAGCGCTTCACTCAGCCCAGATAAGTCTCAGGAGCTCCACCTGAAACCTTTCCCAAGAAGTCCGACAGCTACGCAGCCCTGGGGTAGGGGGACAGGTGACAGACGCATCCCTCTCCATAGACCTGCACCATTCTCACTTCTGCCCTGGGCACAGACGGGAGAGTCCTCAGTCAGTTCTGCTGCCTTGGGCCTGCCTAGCCAGGGGATGGAGAGAAACCCACAGGGCCCCTGCAGACAAGAGTGCAGGGTGTAGCCTGGAGAACAGTTCAGACTGCTGTATGTCCTTGCATGAACCCCTTACCCTCTCTGGTCACCAGCCTTCTTTAAGTGGACTGTCAGTATGCTCTGGTCTGTAGCTGGTCTGTGGCCCTCCTCCCTCCCCCTCTAATTGCTCGGGTGATTTATGGGTTCTGTCTGCCTGGTGGTGCAGGCTGAGCAGTTGGCATTTTCCAGGGGATTCATACAGGAGCATGGGCTCATTCTGGCCTGGGCAAAGGGCTGGCCACTGTGAACTGGCATCACAAGCTTGTGTTGGGGAGGGCCCAGGCCAGAGCAGGGCAGGCATGTGAAATCCTGGGTTTTGGAGCTTGAGGGATCTCAGCCTTAGGCCCAAGATCAGAGCTACCTTCCAGCAATCCCTCAGGGTATGGGACCCAGGGAAGGGGGTGCCCAGGCAGGGAAGCAGGCAGGGCAGGCTACTCCTCTTTGTTCAAGCTGCTGGTGTAGACAGGGGAGCACGCATCCAAGAGATCAGGTGACCAGGGTCCCTAGGGGTTCAGGGCAGTGATGCATTGTGGGGCAGATTGAGAGCTGGCTTGCTTTGCAGGAAGGAAACCTGCTATGCGGGCTGGGTGGCCGGGGCCAATCTACTGGCACTTGGATCATCCTCAAGAAGATACCTAGTCAGTCAGCTTGGTCCTAAGCTGCCAAGGGCTATGGAGACCTTGGGGAGGGGGGGTGGTTAAGGGGAAGAGGCAGGGCAGGAAGGGACGGTGGCCAGGCCAGAAGGTTCTATCATGAGACCCCTTCAGCTCCATGGGTGTCAAGGAGGGCAAGCCAGGGGGTAGGGCTTTGGGTCACAGAAGCAGCCCTCAGAGAAGGCCACAGAGTAGAGCCAGTTATGTGCCATCCTTCTTCAGGTGCTTGCAGAGGCACAATTTAACCCCCACCATACTGCCAAGTCACAGGACAAAGGGGACGTGGCCTACAGCAGAAGGGTGCCACCCAGGAAGATGGCAGGAGTGGAATGGAAGTCCCCTGAGAGCAGGCCACAGGCAGGGTGCGGGTGACAGAAGCAACTGCCCATCTTGGAGCCTACCAAGTACTGGGGCCCAGCTTCTGTACTCTAGACAGAGGCAGGTAGGGCGGACAATGGCAGACAGGGAGTGTCTCTTGGGACACTGGGTACCTGAGAAAGCCCCAGGTCCTAGATGAGGGCCCATTAAAAGGCCAGAACTTCCTGCCTATCAGGCCTGCCAGGGAAACAGCTCAAGGCAGACCCTACTCTATACCACAAGCAGCACGGGATGCCTTCTCCATCCCCACAGAATGGTGGTCTGAGGGTCTCTGCTGCCTGATAACCTGACAGCTCAGAACACAGTGGTGAGCTCCATTTACATTTGCTTTTCTTCTTTTGAGCTAGGGTCTCATGTAGCCCAGGCTGGCCTCAAACTCACCATACCTTGGTGACCTTGAACTCCTCATCCTTCTGAGTCCACTTCCCAAACTAGATAACTAGAGTTTGCCACCACGCATAGCTTTTTTTTTTTTTTTTTTTTTTTTTTTTTTGACACAGGGTTTCTCTGTGTAGCCTAGCTGTCCTGAAACTAGTTCTGTAGACCAAGCTAGGCCAGAATTCACCATCCTCCTGCCTAAGTGCTGAGATGGCCAATATGAGCTGCCATGCCTCCCTGTGGCATGTATTTTAAGCACTAGGTCATGTGGCACAGTTGAGTGGCTGAGCCTACTGTGGGGATCCCCCAGCCGATACCCACCACTCACCCAGCTCAGTGGGCTTCAGCAACTCGTCCAGCATGTTGAAGAAGGGCAGCTTCACCAGACGCACTTCTGGTTTAAGGGTCTTAGTGGGCAGGCGTCCCAGTCCATTCAAGTACTTCCCGTACATCACGGGGTAGTCCACGGTGGGCCCTGACAAGGGAGTCCTGGGCATGGAGTGCAGAGCCAGGGGGTCCAGAGGCCGTGGCACCTGTGGGCTGGGCTCCACACTCTTCTTGGCATAGCGTGTCTCATATAGCTCTTTGATCTTCTTGAAGAGCTCGGGGCTGCAGTCGAACTGCACCAGCTGCAAGGCCCTGGTCACCAGCTCATGCTTCAGCCCACTCTTGCTGCGGCCCACAAAGCCCAGCAGCATCTGCAGGTCTGACACTCGGAAGCTCATCACCATGTTCTATGGAAGGGCAAACACAGCAATTCTCAGCAGGTAACCTCTAACTTGCCTTGGTGGCAGCTACCGGAACCCCACCACCACCCTACACACAGCCTCCTCCCTGACCTCAACTCTCCTCTTCTGGTGGGAGACATACATGAAACAGAAGGACTACCCACCCTGGCCACGGCAGGTGCATGGCTGCAGCTCCGTATTACTAGAGAAGAGGTGTCAGGACTGAGCATTGGTGAAACCCTCTTTAACCAACTTCCTATGTGTGCTGACTCAGACTAGGGATGGCTTGCCAGCCTGAGGCCAGGCCCCCAGGGCACTGTGGATGAGGACCGTTCTTACAGTGAGGTGTCCTGGACCCCATCCCTGGTCTCCACTTAGCCATGCAAGATGTTCCCCCAGGACCCACTCAGGGTTCCCAGGAGCAGAATAAGTCTACATGAGAACAGCTGGTCCCTGAAACCAAGCAGATGCACAGGTCAGTGTGCAAGCTGGTAACAAAGTGTCAGAGGATGGAGGGGACCATGGATGGATCTATCATGGTCCCTCAGATGAAATGACAACAACTAGAGCAGGGGATTCCAGAGTAGGTCCCGGGCCCTTGGGTGGGTGGCCTGCACTCACAACAGCTGACACCTAGGCATGGCAGTTCCTTACAGATGGAAGGCCCAAGCATCCCTGGGAGATAGGCCAGCCAGGCTTTGAGACCTCCTGTGTTAAGTTCTGCTGCTGGCCTGAACTAAATGCAAATTGGAGGTAGAAAGGGAATTCCATGGGGCTGACTGATGGCCCAAGTGGCAGGTGGGGACACAGGCAGCTAACTCAGGCCATGAGTCCCAAAGAAACCTACAAGACACAAAAAGCCCACCCAACCAGGCCAGAGGCCCCAACCCCAGGGATCCATTCCATTTGGGGGCACTTGGCCCTTGGGGGCAAGAGGAGTGTCCCAAGGAGCCCCCAAAATCACCTGGGACTTGGGGTGCCAGGTACTACAGCATGACCTAAGGCCTCTTAGTACAATGGGCTGGGCTGGAATTTGGCCCAGTGACTACCAGACTTCTTAGACTTCTTGCTGAGGAGCCCTGACTCTCCAGGGACTCCTGGATGTTGCCTTGCTGGGTTCCTACCTCATGCTGGGCCATGCAGCATACACAACATGTAGTTAGCACATTTGTACTAGAAAAAAACTCCAGAAGAGAGGGCTACATTGAAGTGAGAGCTGGCCACAAGGATCCAACCAGAGCCAGGGGGCTTTGTGGCCCTGGCAGATGTCCAGGAGTCCTGTCACCTAGGACGGATGGCAAGTATCCCAGTGGTCAAGTCGCTGCCATATGGTCTGGGTCGGATTTCTCAGCAGCTGCTATGCCCTGGGCAGCCTGCTAGGGACAGCAGGGCACCAGGACAGGAGCACAGGAAGAAGCTTCCATCCATCGCCCAGAGTGCACTTCCCGCCCTGGCACAAGCTACCAGGGCTGGGTTTATAAACAGCTCCAGTCTCTTCAGTTTGGGGCTCTCGTTGAGAAGCAACAGCCCAGGCAGCAGAAGTGGCTGCATTCAGCTGTGTCACTGTCCCAGAATCTTCAGAAAGCTGAGACCCGAGACAGGGGCAAAGGATGAAGGTAGTAGCACCGATGCCTGCAGCAGGGAACTCTGAATGGTGCATTCATCCACAAACACCATGACTGCTTTCCACAAGCCCATTGTACTCCAAAAGACAGACTAAAGGAAAGCTACTGGAAGGATGGTGGTGTCTCCATCACATTCAAGGCACTGTGAGGGGTTATGACAGGGGTTTCCCTGGACCTGCGTTAGTTCGCCATTAGACCTTCAAAGAAGGGTCAAGTTCAACAGAGGTAGGGTTGGGGATCCAGCAGGTTAGGCAGAGGGGGGCCAGAGTCCCTGCCATTGAGGAAAATATAGGCACAGAGGCTTAGCCTACCCCAATGCTCCAGAATGCTACGAGGGGCACTTCAAACAGTAAGACTGGGCCTGGGACCTGCATAGTTCACATGTTCCCATCTTGAGGGTCCCAAAATCCCGTCTGTATATGGTGTACATTGTGGGTGAATGAATGGGGGAGAGAAGGGCACACTTTTTAATCAGAGCCTCTAGAATAACCCTAAAGATCCAAGTGAGGAGGGAAGAGCCATGTAACAATAGAACCAGGAATAAAGGGGTACAAGTTATGACCTTATAGGAGGGAAGATGCCTGAGGCGGACTGTGGGAGAGACAAGTGGGTTGAATCCTTGGCTTGGGAGACAGGACAGCACTGGATGGCAGCGTTGCTGAGCCATGTCTCAAGGCGGTTTAGTGGGGCCTCAATGCAGAAATGGCAGGAACAGACCTAAGAAATCCTCCCTTGGTAAATCAAGGGATCCTATGAGGACCAAGCTGTGGAACAACAAAGGGTGGTGGGTCCTGTGGGCCATGCCAGGGAGCAGTGAAACCCTACACGATTCACCAGGACGTAAAGGTTCGAGGTGGGGTACAGAGAGACTGAATTATTGGAGAATGAGGTACCCCATAGCTGACCTGACCCCCAGAAGGGAACCAGGGACTGGTTCACAGGACTTGAAACAGCGCAGGGGAACTTCCCAAGACTCCAAAGTAACAAGCCAGGAGGACAGGGAAGGCAAAGGGACAGCCAGTGTGTAAATAGGCAAGTGTCTCCAGTGGGGATGGGGGAAGGAGTGTCTCGGAGACTCCAACATGAACCCTCATTCATTCACAGTTGGACTGAGTCTGTAGTCTGACTTATTCAGTAGGAAGAGGTGTCATAGGGACCCTGAGAATCAGAGGGCTTGTGGCACTCCCTCCCTGCAGACTTTCCCCATGCTATCCCATAGGGGAGGAATGATGCGGGGACACGGACCTGAGTCCTCGTTGCTTTAGAGACAGGATGGAGAAGTCCCTCTCTGTATTCCTTGGACTTGAGAGATAGACCACAGAGGGACCCCTCCCAGGTCTGTCCCAATGGAGCTGTCCCAAAGGAAGGGACAGTGCCTGCACCGGGAAAGCCGTGTAGGGACCTTCAGCTCTGGTCGGAAATGGAATGACAGGAGACGGTGGGGACACTCCGAAGAGGGAGCTGGCGACCCCGCCCCCGGTCTCCCCGCCCCCCCACCCCGCCCGCAGCTTCAGCCTGCGTCCCGGTCGAACCCTCACCGACCCGCACCACCACAGCCCGCACTGCGCCCTCCAAAGTAGCTGCGAGGCGCCGTCCGCACCGCGCCACCCGCCGCCCCGGCCCGCGCCACCGCCTCTCACTCACTTTGGCCTCCACCAGCTCTGCCGCCATCTTGGCCACTAGCGTCCCCCGCGCCGGGAGGCCCCAGCCGTCGCGTCACGTGACAGCCCTCGACTGGAGGGCGGGACCTGCGCGAGAGCCAATTACAGCGATTGCTGGCTTCTCCCCCCCACGCCCCCAAGTCTGAGGGGCGGGAGTATGTGTGGTGCGCAGGCGCGCCCAGGTGCCACCGCCCGAGAATCTCACCAATCACAAGGAAGAGTTATCAATCCCCGCCTCTGTGCTTATTTTTCAAGGCTCTGGCCTTAGCCACGCCCCTAGGGGAGGAGTTTAATGTCTTAAAGGCGTAGTAGCCCTACCGGCTGTCTCATTTTCCTTGCTCTTGTCGATTGCATGCCTACTCTCTGGCTTTAAAATAAACTTACATTTATTTACTCATTTAGTGTATACATGTGTGGAAGTCAGAGAACAGTTCAGGAAAGTAGGTTTTTTCCTTCCACTATATAGGTTTCAGGAATGAGGCCCTCAGGCTTGGCAGCAAATGCCTTCATGACTCTCACTGGCCTCATCTTTTCTAAAAAAGTACTTGGCAGGTCCTCTGCCTCATTTTCTTTCTTTCTTTTATTTATTTATTTGGCTTTTCGAGACAGTGTTTCTCTGTGTAGCTTTGGAGCCTGTTTAGGAACTCAAGACCAGGAACACAAGGCCAGGCTGGCCTCTGTGATCACAGAGATCCTCCTGCCTCAGCCACCACCATCCAGCACCCTGACTTTTCAACTGGACTCCTGGGAACAACTAGTCTTTTTTCTTTGAGACAAGGTCATCATGCATCCCGCTGTCCTGATACTCATGAGGCAGGCCTCAAACTCAGAGATGTGCCAGCCTCTGCCTCCAGAGTGTTGAGAGTAAAGTTGTGCCCCCCACGCCTAGTTTCTTAAGGGTGTAGAAGCCCCTCCAGCGGCCTCCTATTTTTGTTGGCCCAAGGCCAAGTCCACTCTTAATGAGATCTGATATTTAGCGAGCACATGTTCAGGGATACACACATAGGTTTGTGGGCGACAAAAGACAACATTTAGAAGTTGGTTTTAAATCTTTCGCCATATGGGTTCAAGGAATCGAACTCAGGTTTAAAAACAAGTGCGAAGGGGTGTGAGTGCCCACATTCCACGCCTTCCGTGTGGACGTCGGAGATTTTGCTGGAATTACTTTCTCCTTTAACCATGTGTCACCAAATGGGTCCTGAGGATGGAAATGGAAATCTTTATAGTCAGCTTTGTAAGCAAGCTCCCATATCCAGCCTTTTCGTAAGCCCCTCCCTGGCCTCTCAAATACCCACAAGCTCAGCCACATCTATGTTATTGCAGCGCTGCGGTCATGCCCACTTCTTGCTGAGCTCTACTTTTTTTCTTTTTAAACATTTATTTATTATGTATACAACATTCTGCCTGCATGTATCCCCTGCAGGCCAGAAGAGGGCACTGGATCTCATTATAGATGGTTGTGAGCCACCATTTGGGTGCTGGGAATTGAATTCTGGACCTCTGGAAGAACAGTCAGTGCTCTTAACCTCTGAGCCATCTCTCCAGTACCCTTTTTTCTTTTTCGAGACAGATTTCTCTGGTTTTTTGGAACCTGTCCTGGAACTCGCTCTGTAGAACAGGCTGGTCTTGAACTCACAGGGATCTCCAGACAGTAGGGATTAGACAGTGTGCCACCACCGCCCAGTGAGCTTTCCCTTTAAAATTGTGTAAGCACCGCCCCCGCGCTTCTGCTCCTGGAGGGCGGGGTTCTTAAAGACCCACGGTCTCACCACCTTGGTTTGGTACATTTAATGGCTGCCCTTGCTTGCTGCAGGTCTTTTCGAGGAAGAGTTGGGGATGAACCGAATGCGGTCCCACAGGTGTCGCTGTTCCGTGCGCGAGTGTCAGCCAGCAGGAGCTGGGCATGCTTGGCCATGTGATACTGGGGTGTGCACTCAACCGGTGCATATCTGGGATCTAGTGCATATGGCTGGCCTGCTCCAAGAAGCACAGCCACAGAGCCCCAAAACTGGCAATATGTAACTAATTAATAGTCCCAACAACTGGGAGGAGGAGTCAGGAGGATTGTGAGTTTTAGGCCAGCCTAGGAAATAGAGACTTGTGCCAAAGAAAGATATTTTTCCTTCTCCTTTTGGGTGTGTATATGTGTGCCTGGTAGCACTTTCCTGCAGACCACTTAACCCCTCCTTTTGTCTTGTTTTTAAGAAATACCAGAGTTCTGTACCGACCCTGACCACTCAGTTTCAAACTCCTTTGGCTCTGCAGGTACAGAGTACAAACTTTTGTTTTTGTAACCAGGTCTCATCAAACCCAGGCTGGCCTGGAAATTCCCTATGTATCCCTTAGTTTCTGATTAAGTGCTGGGATAACAGACAGGCATGGGTCACCACCCATTACAAGATACGGAGGATGAACCAGGGGTCTATGAATGCCAGGCGAGCACTTCACTAACTGAACCCCAGCCCCCTTGTCACTTATTTTTTCGGTTTTTTTTTTTTTGTGTGTGTGTGTGTCCCCCCCCCCCCCCCCCCCGCCAGGGTTTCTCTATTGCTTTGGAGCCTGTCCTGTAGCTCTGTAGACCAGGCTGGCCTTGAACTCACAGAGATCCACCTGCCTTTGCCTCATGAGTGCTGGGGTTAAAGGCGTGCACCACCAACGCCTGGCCACTTGTTTGATTTTTTAAGATTTTTAAATTTTATGTGTAGGTGTGTTTTGTCTGCTCACAAGTGTGTGTGGTACCTACAGAGGTCAAACCACCTGGAACTAGTTACAAATGTTTATAAACCACCACATGGGTGCTAGCAACGGAACCTGGTTCCTGTGCAAGAGCAGTCAGTGTTCTTAACCATCACACCATCTCTCTGCTACACAAAGTTGTATTCCATTTGTTGTTCTTTTTGTTTGTTTATTTGTTTTTCCATGGCTGCCCTTGAGCTCATTCTGGGTAGCCTTGATCTCAGAGAGCTGCCTACCTCTGCCTCTCAAGTGCTGGGGTTAAAGGCATGTACCATCTTTGCCCAGCTCACAATGTACTCCCTAAAGCAAGATCTCCCCCTCCCTCTCTCTCTTCCTACCTCTCTCTTTCTCTCGCATCTGCTTGGCACGCCTTCCCAGTGCCAAGATGATGGATGGTGTGAGCCACAAGTATCTTGCTTCTGTGAAAACAGCATCGGAGCAGTTTATTACATGGTAGAGTGGGGTGTGCTTAACCAGTGCCAAAGACCATTTTGTCTGCTGCTTTTGTGGGCTTTGCTTCAACTTTTTTCTTTTTTCCTTTTTGTTTTTCAAACAAGATCTCACTGTATCTCCTTGGCTGGGCTGGACTAAAAACTACTGTATAAGGCCATGCTGGCCTTCACATCAGAGATCTGCCAGCTTCTGCCTGCAGAGTGTTTAAAGGTGTGCACAACCAAAGGGTGGGGAAACCCTGTGAAAAACAAACAAACGAACAAACAGAGTGGGCTATGATCCACACCAAGAGATTGAGCACACAGGGGCAGGAACCCAATGTTTCTTACTCTCAGTAGTTTCTGTATTTTGTGCACCAAGTAATGTGAAAATGTGGGTCACATGTAGTTAGGTGACAGAGGCAGGACAGACCCTGGAGCCTCTCAGAAATGGCAGGTACACTGTACCACAGCGACTCTCAAAAATAGGTGTAGGTGAAGGGGCAGTTTCCCGAGTCACTATCCAAGGTCTCTCTTTAGCCCTGGGTGTCCAGGAACACTCTCTAAGTAATCTGGCTAGCCTCAAAATCACAGATCCAGCTAACTCTGGCTTCACACCATGTGGAATTAAGGGTGTGGCCACCAATAGTTGGTTCCACTTTAGTTTTGTTTGCTTTCGTTTTGTTTTTCAAGACAGGGTTTCTCTGTGTATCTTTGGAGCCTGTTCTGGAACTCTCTTTGTAGACAAGGCTGGCCTTGAATTCACAGAGGAGCTCTGCCTCCTGAGTGCTGGGAGTAAGGTCACCACTGCCCCGCTCCACTTTGTTTTTTGGACAGATTTCCTCACTGAACCTGTCATTCACTGGCTGAGGTAGGTAGGCAGCCACTGAGCCATGCTGCAATGAGAGGCAAAGCCATCACACCTGGCTCTTTGCATAGTTTAGGAATTCAAATTCAGACAAGACCGCGTGTGCAGCAAACGCTTCCCCACTCGAATGACCTCATTCAAGCAATTTCCGTTTTAAGCAGCCTTTCAGAGTGGACTACATTTCCCAGAATTCTGAAGCGACACGTGGTCTCATGACCAGACTGAGCCAATAGCGGAAGTGATGTATCTTTTCCCTTTTCCTCTTTCTTCCTCTGCGCAGGCAGTGATTATGCACCAATTACTGGACCTCGAAGAGGGAGACCACTTTCCCGGGACCTTAAAAAGCAGCTAGGGAAAATTTTTCCTAAAAAAAAAAAAAAAATTACTTTTTTTAAAATTTATTTTTCTCTTTCCGAGACAGGGTTGGAACTCACAGATCTGCCTGCCTGTGCCTCCCGAATGCTGGGGTTAAATGCGTACGCCACCACGCCCGGCTTACTTGTAGTTTTGAGTGTGTGTACTTTTAAGCACATGAACTCTGACCCCTTGAGCCACCTGATAGGGGTGCTGGGAATCCAACCAGGATCTCTTGTAGTGTCGGCGCTCCTACCCATTGAGACATTTCCCCTGACTCCAGCTGGGCCTTAATTCTCCCTCATTTCACCTATTTTTATCACTCAGGATTTTTTTTTCTTTGTTGTATGCATTTGCATGTACGAGTTTATGAGCAGACATTTGTGTGTGTAGAAATCAAAGAATGACATCAGATGTCTTCACCCCCTTTTTTTTTTTTTCAAGGCAGGAGTATCCCTGTTACTTGTTGGCAGGTACTGGGAGAACTCCAGAGCCTACTTTTTACATGGGAACTTGGAATTGAACACAGATTTTCATGCTTAGGTGGCAAGTACCTAACCAATTGAGCTACAGCTTCAGTCATGTTTGTTATTTTGTTTTTGTTGTTATTTTACCCTGGTTCTCCTGTAGCCCAGTCCACCCTCAGAACTCAGGATTCTCCTGCCTCTATGTCCCCAGTGCTGGGATGACAGACATACGCCACCATGCCTGGCCAGTCGTGTGATGTTGCGGATGGGCCGCTTGAGACAGGTTA